AAGCAGGAAGAAAAGTTTGTAAGCAGGAAGAAAAAGAAAAGATTTTATCTTGAAGATTTTTTTTCATTTTTGCTAAAAATGGATGCAACTTGAGACCACATTCAGTAGTGAAATAAGACACAGATATGTAAACACTGTATTGTTTCACTAGTGAGAAGCTGAAAGAAAAAATATGTATACATATATGCATATATAAAAACAGTTAAGGCAATTATACTATACTCTGCATTCACTGAAGAGAAAGTTTTGTGCTGGGATTGTTCAGACGAGTGAATGAAGACGGCTTGTGCTCTGGGTGAATGAATGGGGATGACAGTGTGAGTGTGTGTACCATTGTTGCCCCGATTGATGTGTTTTGAAATTTTGTTGTAGTTTTTTCTCTATTTTTCTCCTTTAAATAAAATCAATTTGAAAAATAAAAAATAAAATCACAGGCCCATAAATAATTAATACTTTGTTCTTTCATTAAAAAACATTCTGCAAGGAAGAATAAAGGTAAGAATAATACCTTATAGGTATACAGAAAATCCATTTGATTTTTTGGCTAGACAACTGTGTATATAGCAGATCTGGAAGAATTTTTGGATATTGTGGCATTTATTTAAGGAGGTATGCAAATCAAGACACTGAAATAGTGAACGTAACGTTTATTTTTATAGTCCCAGAAGTTAAAAAAAGGTTTTACCTTAGAAAGGTGCACAATTCACCCCTTTAGTCTTAGCAAACAAGATTTAAGTAAACAAATACCTTACTTCAAAATTTTATTCTAAATACTGATGTTCATCCATGACATAGAAACTAATAAGGAAATATTTTTCCTCTTACAGGCTTACTTAAATTTATAAATGCTTTTCTATCTATAATCATTGAGGAGACAGTTTAACATATGGACATGTACTTAGTTTTATTTTTTAAAATGCAGCTGAGAATAATTTATACATACATACTTGTATACCTGACAGTGATAAAACTAAGTTATAAAGAAAATATTATTATATATGTTATTCTCAGCATGCAAATAGGAGATTTAAAAAACCCTAAAATGTTCAATTAGACTTAAAGCTTTAATAGTTTTACAAATCAGCTCTAATCAATAGCATTGGGACAATTCTTCTCTGAGGTTTACATGCTAGAATTTACGCATAGCTGGGAAGAAAGGAACGTGATTAGTGTGGCAACTGACAGTCTGACCTCGAAGAGACACACAGCATTGCCTGTAAAATGAGAGTCAAACACATCATTTTTTAACATTATTTTCAGATCATTTTAAATACAAGACATGCATGCATCAAATTATTGATAGTTGCGTATTTCACATTTCCATCTAAGTCAGAGGAACACAATGATTACTCTTGAGTTCTACACTGAAAAAAAGTGTTGCTTACATTTGTAGAAGATGCATCTCATTCGCTTTCCAAGCCCTTCACATGCAGACCAAGGGAATGAAAGCTGAAGAATACACTTTTTGCAAAAATCCAATTACGGAATTTATTGATCAAGTACCAAAGGCCAACAGTGATAATGTCACACAAAATATGGCTCCTGAGCCTGCTGCTCAGCCAAAAGCTAAACTAGCAACCGAAAAGCCTATCTACCTGAGGCTGTTCCGAAACCTTTACCATTGTACCGCTAACCATGCACGACACTGAAGTCAAACCTTCAAGTGATCTGAAGCACTTTGGTGTAGGAATTTAACCTCTGAAAATACAATATAATTTCTGAAAGAGTTTAGCTCATTACAGCATCTATAAAAAGCTCTATTTAACATAATTATATGAACTGCTATCTCATGAGCATAACATGTTACTTAGAAAAGGTAGCAGGAAAAAAAATACCAAGTGCATATAAATAACAACCTCCCCTCCCAGAAAAGTAAGAGGAAAATCAAATTTTGATACCAAACAAGATAATATCAAGACAATGCCACAGTGCAGCTTCAAAGAGAAGATTTGGGTAATCGGTTGTTTGAGCTAGACGATTATCAATAACCAATCAGACAGGTCCCAGTTCTCCCAGATATACAGGAACCCTTCTGGACACCGTCAGATCACAGAAATGCATCTGCAAGTGACACTGCTCTGGACTTCTTTTTTCCTTTTTTAATGGTACTGGGGATTAAACCCAGGGCCTTTGCACTGACTACATCTCCAGCCTTTCTTGTTCTTTTTTTCTTCTCTTTTTCCTCCTACTCCTCATTCTCTCTCTGTCTCTGTCTCTGTCTCTCTGTCTCTCTCTCTGAAACAGGGCCTTGCTTAGTCACTAAATTGTCCAGGCTGGGCTTAAATTTATGACTCACCTGCCTCAGGCTTCCAGAGTGCTAGGATCACCTCCTCTCCCTGTGTGCCTGAAGCTATTACAAGGAGACCCCAGAATTCATCCTGAGTGTCCTGTGCATGTGAGAAAGTCACGTGTGTCATTCCAAATACGTCATTCCATATTTCAATATTTTCCCCACCAGGAGAATTTCAGCAGCCTCTTCCCAGGGGAACTGTGACTTTCCGCTCCACTAGGGTCAGAATTTGCTCTAATTCCAGCACGATTCCTGTGTACTCAGTGTGAGGCATCTTCCCAAAGATGGAATAAACTGATGGCTGAAGGAACCAAAATTTTAAAAATGCACGTAGTTTTCAGAAGCGTTGGTTTATACTAACACTACTCCTGCTGCCACTGCTCTGGAAGTCACAGGAAGCACCTGCTACCCCACGATGCAGCGGCTGATCCGGGCTTTGTGCCCAGGTGTGGCTGCCATGCCCTTCCCAGAGAGTGGAGTCACAGCCTTGGGTTCCAGTCACAAATCAGCAATTTTATACAACAAGCTTCCCTGGGCAGTGTCGTTAACCTCATCTGTGTAAAGTGACAAAAATGAATAAAACATATCTTTAAAGTCAGATTATGCTCTGATTGGCTCTCCATTTAGGGCAAATTACTAAGACTGTCTTACTAATAGTCGCAAATATGAAATTAAGCCTGAGTTGCAAGCGGTTCCTGGAGGTGTCATACATCCATGATCCACACCGATGGCACAGGAGAATATTCTGCAACTGTTTTCGCCCACACTAACTCTATGGATCTTTTTAAAAAGTAACTTTAGTCAGTACATTTCTCGGATATAAACTTGCCAAGGTTTGTTTCTTCCTGAATAAGTTTTTGAAAACACAGAATGAAATATTTTATTATAGCACACAATCTTTTGCTTTTATCAAATGAAATTCCGGGACACCCTCATACTTCTGAGAACTTCCAAAGTTCATTATTTGATAAGGTCATATCAAGGTTAAGGGAAGGCCTGGGTGTTCAGCAAAGATCTTAGATACCCAGAAAAGCAAACTGAGGCTCTTCTGAGAAAAAAACAAAACAAAGTAACAAACGCACGTATAAAATAGATAAGACATGAGGATTCAGAAAGCAGCAATTTGGGCATAAATATCTGACAGCTATCCTGGATCGCAAGCTGATTTATGAGTATGCAAAACAGCAATGAAAATAAAGAGCCTCGGAAGGATGTGCTAATGGGAAGATGGGAGACAGCTCTGCTGCAGTTAGAGGCCAGGACGCTGCCTTTGTCAGAGCTCTAGGGGCCCCAGGAGAGCACAGCGGTAAACACAGCCAGACTGACGGCTTGTTCGTTGTGTGGTGAGCCAGACCTCTGGGGCCTGACACACCGCCTGTAAAGTTATCTGCATACTGCAGAGAGCAGGTACTTGCTAGAGGATTTGTAAATGGCAGGATGGGAGTTTTGTTATACCTGAAGGTAGCCTGACACACAACCCCAATTCAGCAGCAAAAGTCCATTTCACTTCCTGCAATTAACAAAATAAATAAAGTTTTGAGTCTTTGTGCTTTTCTTGGAATAAAATATCAAGTGTCCTAAGGAAGCTGAGGACTCCATTGGTTGGATTGCTTGTTTTTAAGTGAGAATCAGAAAATTAAGTATTAAAGAGAAACAGATTTTTTTTTGTGAGGGAAGTACAGGCCAGTGTGCATTTAGTGTCATCCCTGTGTGCACAAGGGTATCAACAAATACAGGCAAAATGTCATCACTGGCAGACCAACAGTGACCTCTTGGGCTGCTAAGACAGCAGGCTTGTCCACTCGGCAGGACAGAATGCACTGCACCAAGGTGCTATCTGAGGCAGACAGAAAGTCCCTGTTCCCACTTGGTTTCAAAGCAGTTTAAAGGTCCCTGAGATGAGAAAGGCGACAGAGGAGCCCCACTTCCCCCAACTCACTGCCGATATCCTTACAGGCACTGCAGGGACAGGGGCATGAGGAGGTGCGGGGACAGGTCGCAAGCAGAGGCGATTCTAGCTGAGAAGGAAACGCTGGTTTTTTTCTTTGAAGCTTCCCAGTTCCTCTGAGAATTCTCCAAAGGTGACCAGGCTATTGCTGAATCAAAGTCTGCAAATGACACCACCTCCTCAGGACCGCGTCCTTCCTCACTGCACGGCCCTGGGCTGGTGACAGAGAGCTGGGAAGGCACCTGGCCCTTGCGGGGTGGCCACTGGAGCCCACGCTTGGCCTGGCTGGTGTGGCCACCTCCCTCTCCTGGAGGAAAGGTCTTGCTGAATGGAGTCAAAGTGTCAGAGCTCTTGAATAATGAGAGGAAATTATCCAAAGCTGGTTAGGTAATAAGTTGACCCAGAAGGAAACCACAGCTGCTGTAACAGCTTCCTAATTTAAACCCTGAGGAACGCAGCAGAAAGGTAACGAGGAGTTGGAGAGGGGGCAGAGTGAAGGAGGTCGGGGTGCCTAAAGAAGGGGCCCACGTGGGGTCCCTAGGGCAGCTGGACTCCTTCTGGGGCCAAGCTTCAGGGGATGCCATCTGAGGGCAGTGGGTGCTGGAGGAAACAGCAAAGGCTCTTCTGCCTATACTGATCTGAATGCATTCAACTCGCGTCCTCTCCATCCTCCAGGGGCAGGCAGCAGGCTCCTGGGGTGACTTCTCTTGGGAAACATGAGCACCATGCATCATTCTGGGTTAGGATTCGCTGTCACTGCAAGAGAACAAACACAGATGGGAACAGCCGTGTATCACCAAGACGCCGCAGAGAGATGGTCACTCCGCGCCAGGGCCCAGCTGACACCTGTGGATGCTCTTTCCGTGGATCCCGGAGGAGGAAGCCCACAGCGCCAGGGGAGAATACTTCCCTCTCCTTCTCCTCCCTACATCACTCCCCCTGCTGAGCGGGAGAACCAGATGGAGGCGGGGTTCCCCCCCTAATTAAATCGAATCCCAGTCTCTATGAATAGATGCCAAATTGCCTTTTTTCCATGTGTGTTTTCCCCCAAGAGTCAGCGGTCCTGGCAAGGTTTCAGCAGAGCATCTTGTGCAGATCCGAGGGGCTCTGGAGGTGCCCTCCCGGTGTCACTGTCAGTCACCAGGCGTCCGGAGGTGCGAGTGGACATAAACTACAAAGTTGGTGTTTGAACCCTTGCTGGCTGCCCTGCTTTGGTTTGAACTCGGCTCTCTCGGCCAGATATCTGCCTTCCTAGCTTTTCCCAGCAGGCTGGTGGCTCTGCCCAGGACTTTTCCTCCTACTTCTCTTTTTAGTTCTGTGACCCCTTCCCTCAAATTCCAGGAGGACTCCCTTTTCGGTCAACTCTGTCTCCCAGGAAGTGCTGGAACAGGAAGAATCAACAGATCTGGTATCGCCACAGCACACAGATCAACAGGTGACCCTCAGGCCTCATCGGACTCCTACTCAGCGGCCTGCTCAGTGAGACACTCGGCTTAGCCAGGCTTGGCAGCCTGTGCTGTCACCCCTGCTACACAACAGGTGGTGCAAGGCAATATCCTGAGGCCAGGAGTTTGGGGCTGGCCTGGGCAACACAGAAAAACACCTTGAAAACAAAAGAAAACAAACAAAAAACATGTTTCTGGAAAGCTTTGAAACAACCCGAATGGATGTATGGATAGATAATAGATCAATAGATAGATCTACCCATGACATTGCGTGCGTGCATGCATGCGTACGTGTGTGTGTGTGTGTGTGTGTGTGTGTGTGGTATTTGTTTCTATGTTCTGAAGCCAAGCAGAAGCTGCCATAACAGGAAAGGACAATGGGAAAGAAGGAGGCAAGTGAACAGAAGAACAACCTCTAAAGCAAAACTTATTTGAAATGGAAGAAACCTCCTGGAAAATTTAAAAACACTGTGGGCAGGGGTGTGGCTCAGTAGTAGAGTACTTGCTTACCAGGTCCAAGGCCCTTGGTTTGACCCCAGAACCCCAATCCCCCAAAAGAGAGAGCAGATGCTAGCAAACACTTTCACTATGACACCCTGAACAGCTCTCCACCCGGGCGAGTGGACACTGCTTCATTTCTTGGAAACTGGGTGCTAGCAAGATAATAGGAGTCCAGCTTTACAGAACAGTCTCGGAGCTGCAGGCTTCCCTTTCCCGGACTTATCTTGATGTTTCAGCCACGCTAAACTGAGAGAATATAAAGCCAGACAGGAATAGACAAAGCCTCTCTTGCCTACGATACTGATCTGTGCCCAGCTGTTATAATAGAAGTGACTTTGAAAGCTGATTACTGTAAAGCCAGTCCACATTTATTGGAAAAAATATAAGTAAGCAAAATAAACATACCAGTAATGTCGCTAGCGCTAAGGTTTTGCTGTTAATTCGCTGCAAGGCAGGGCTGTGTTCTGCATAGTGGTTTGTACTCCCCCATCTCATTTGCATACAGACATCTTTGCCTGATCACATACTGTGCGTTTTATCGGGCTGGAAGGGAAACGCAGCAGCAGAGGACTTTGCCAGCACCTGCAAGCCCTGGGTTCAATCCTCAGCTCATAGTAAATAAATAAATAAATGAAAAAACAAATACATAAGTTTACGTATTGTGTCAATATACATACAGGACACTTGTGATGGCTACGTAGCTTTCCATTGTTTTACTCAATTAAAAAAATTAAACATTCAGGATTCTTCCAATTTTAAATTTTGTTTTGTAAATTGTCAACTTTTTCACAGATCTCTGGAAGAGGAATTATTACTGAAGATGTCAAACTATCCCTTTTGCCAAATTATATCCCCTTCCCTAGAAATTTTATATAATTTGTATTCTCTCAACATTTCTCTTTAAGAAAACGTTCTTTTGCTCCTATCCCACCTGGGTTATTTTTTAACGAGGTCTCACTCTGTAGTCCAGGCTGGAGTTGAGCTTACAAGGTGGGCCTGGCTGACCTCAAGTTCACAAGAGTCCTCTGCCTCAGCCTCCTGAGTGTTAGGACTATAGAATACTGGGTTCTAACACTGCTATTGTTTTCATCTTGTATAAGCCTAATAGGTGAAATTTGTATTAAATTTACCCTCTTATTACTTTTATTGATTTATTTACTTCACTGCTTAGAAGAATAAACATTTTTTTTTCATATGACAAGTGGAAATTTCAATTTCTTCTTTGGTTGAATTTATTGATAGTTTTTCTCCTATTCAAAAGGCAGCAATTATCTCTTTATTGGTTTGGCCATTAAGAGTGCTAGTAATTTTTAATGGGGATGAAATCCAGGGCCTCTGACATGCTAGGAAAGCACTCTGCCCTGAGTTACAAGCCCATCCCAATAATAGTAATAATTTCCTGCTCGGGATATATACTGCAAAAGCTCAATTCTCCCTTTTCTTCTAGTGTTACTTTATTGTTTTCAAAAGTACAAGAGCTTTTGAGATCCTTTTGCTGTTAAATCGGCCCTTTTCTTACACAATGTTATGTATCTCACAGGAGTCCCAAAAATCCCCTCCTGTGAGATACATAACATTGACCCAATTTTTCCTGGATTTTGTTTTGCCTTTTAAAACTTAGCTGCAATTTTAGCTAGAAGTGTGTAAGGTTCTAACCTTCTGAAATTCACTGAACATCCATTGTTACTTTATGCTATCTTACATTTCTATGCCCTTAAGATTCACAGTTTCTCTTCCCCTCTTGTGTGACTGTCCTGGCTCTTGGTGCTTCATCCAGGTGAAATGCCCATAGGGTTTTTAACAGGCTGGGCTGAACTGAAAATGATAATTTCCACACTGTCCTCTCTCCTTCAGGAACATAGTATGTCTTTCCATTGCTGCAAACCTCATGTGCCTTTCAATAAAAATTTGAGGACTGAGGGTGCAGCTTGGGGGTTGAGAGTGTGCTTAGTTGGCATGGAGCCCTGAGTTCCATCCCTAACACCAAAAAAAAGTTAAAAACTTGAACTTAAATATATATATTGAACTTAAGTATAAATATATTGGGTTCAATCCTTAGCACAAATATAAACAAATGCACTAATATATATGTGAACTTAAAAAAGAAAATTATCCCAGTGGTGTAGATTGGCACATGCCTGTAATCCCAGCACCCTGGGAGACTGAGGCAGGAGGATCATAATTCTGAGTCCATCCTGGGACATTCAGCAATTTATCAAGACCCTGTCTCAACATTTAAAAAAAAAAATGCTGGTGATGTAGTTCAGTAAAAAGGCCCTGAGTTCAAATTCCAATACTTCCAAACACATTATTATGCCATGAATTTCATTGTTGTTGGCTGTGGTTGGCAGTTCCGCCTGGCTTTTATGATGGAGCTGGAAAGTGTTAGCGAGTTTTCTGGCACAGTAAATAAGAGCACAGGCTCAGACAGTCAGTTTGAACCAGTCATTTCTTTGATGTGTGACTGTAGGCAAGTTAACCTTCCTAGCTTCTCATATGCAAAACATCCCTAAATATACCGTGTACTTTACAAAATCACTGAAATAATAAAAGAGGAGCGCGGGTGAGGCTCAGTGGTACCACCTGCCTCACACACACAAGGCCCTGAGGTTCCTCCCTAGCAACAGGCACACACACACACACACACACACACACACACACACACGAATAAATGAGCACATGCAGGCCAAACCACCTGACCTTCACACACGTACGTGGACGGCTGCTCTTCTCACTCTGCAGATTTTACAGCAGCAAAGGTTGCTGGCAAAACACTAGCTTGTGCATTTCTTCAGACATTCAAAGGCTTTAAGAAACTGTTTCCCAAAGCCCACTTGAAATTTGTAAGAAGCATTTTGTGCAACACTGTTGTTTACCTAATGTATCAAAGAGCAAAAGCAGCTCCAGGCACAGCACTGCCCGCTGCAGCTCTGGGGCCCACAGTCAGCCTGATGACCTCGTCTGCGGTGAGTATCAGGTGCCTCAGCTGTGGGACATCAGACACCCAGGTGTAGTAACTTGCTGGGTGGTGTGACAGTCCCCAAGTCTTGCACCATTCTCTCTCCCACGTGGCCGTTTAGTTAGACCTGTTCTTTGCTGTCTCTGTGGTTATTCAGCATCTCTGCGAAATGATCAAATCCACCCAGGTGTTTTTAACTGGCAAATCCTAGAGTTCCCTATTAAAAATATCTGGGCAAACTGCCACAGAATTGCAGCAAATAAAATAAGCAATCCCACTTTAAACCTTTATGGCTTGTCTCAGTGGGAATGTGCGTCACATTAGCAACTTATCTATGAGCATGACATTAATGAGTGATTTGTCTGGGGGTGTTTTATTGATATTTTAAGAACATGGAACACCTTCTCAAAGCCTATATGTTAACAGGCTGACACACAGTAAAAAAAAAGTTTCAACTGATCAAAAAGCATCTCTGCATTATTATCTTTAAGAAGACATTTAATTGGCAGGGTACCAGTGAAGTGAGGGCAGATCCAACTGGACTACCTTGTTTCATAACTGTCTGTTTGTTGCAGTGGGGGTCAGATGAGTTTTCTTTGTTCTCCTGACCAGTCTGCCTTGTAACAATCCCTCTTTATGACCATGGCTAATGTACCTTATCTCCAAAGATCACAATAAGCCTACACTAAACCTTTCGTGTGTTCTGGTGTTCAGTTTGAGGGGAATGCAGAGTTCAGTCTGGCGTGAAGTCACATAATAATTAGATGGGACTCCCTTTCTCATCGGTGATGTAATGTCCCTTCTCCTTCCTGCAAAAGGCCTGGCTGGGCTGCAGTTGAAGAGATCATTCATCTGGGTAACCTCAGAGCAGGTTCAGAATTACTTCAAGACTCATAGATTATGCACATGGTGTAGACAAACTGGGCCACAGTCCAAGCTGTGCTGTGGTTAAGGTTTAGTACATCTTTCCTCTCCCTGCTGCACTAACAACGGTATTTGAAGTTAACATCCTGCAGGGCTATAAGCTGTGACTCTGCGCCCCTCCTGGTAGCAACCTCAGGTTGAGAGAAAATCATTTGGGTGTAATATTTGTTGGCTTGAAGTAGAAGATGTTTAAGTAAATTTTGAGGGACTAGAGAAGAAAGGATGAAAGAAACTCAGAAACAAAGAAAACACTGGAAGTGGCCACAGAAATTTACTTGTGATGAAAGAGAGGAAAAAAGTCACACGAGCCTCCTGTTTTCTTATAACTAATAATTAAGCCCATCAGTGAGTGCCCTGCTAGAAGTCATTAAAGGAATCACCTCTCCAAGCTGGTATTCTTACTGCAGGTATTCTTTGTTGGCTCTCAATACAGAATGTGTCCTTTTATTTATGTAGGATCTCTTCTATTCTAATGAAAATGAAATTTTAAAAGCAACTTTTCTCTAGACTAGGCTTTATCACAAGGTGTCATATAAACTTTAACAAATCACTTAACCCCTCTGAGTTTCAGATTTACTTAGATGAGTTATTGCATTTTTAACTATCTTGACACGGTATACACAGTGTCAAGCACATGTTAGCTTTTCAATAAATATATTTTTTTCTTCAAATGGAGTTTCCCTATGTTGCCCAGGTTGGGCTTTAAACTCCTGGGTTCAGGTGAGCCTCCTGCCTCAGTCTCCCAAATAGCTGGAACTATACGAGCATAGCATTATGCCTGATTTGATCAATAAACATCCTTAAAAAACTACAGATACAATGTTACTGCTTAAAACAAAGACAAAGGAGAAGGAAGAAATTCACAAAATTAAACTAATCTGGACTTTTCTTGAGGGATATTGCAGAGCCCCAATTTTATAATGCCCTTCAGCTCAGAAACATGTACAAACAGGAAGCCTATAAGAACAGGTATACTGCCCTGTTCCTTCTCGGACTTAATTTCTTAGGTAATAGTACCCACACATCTGGCATGTAGAAGACTCTACATAAATATCTTTTTACTATTGTTACTGTAGCTTGAAAATTATAAATCCATGTGAGTGCACCCAGATCTAGTTCTCTGCCTAATCTCTCTCAGTGCTGTGGCTCCATGTAAAACCACCACTGTGGCCGAGAGACAGAAAAGCAAAGAAGCTTGTGTGCTTGGCTAATATTTGCAAGTTTGCGTGTGTGGATATTCATCTCAGAGCACAGACACAGAAACAAAACTCTCAGGAAATGACTAGAGATGCCTCAGGGAAAGGAAGAGGCTGGCTGGCCCAAAAAGACATGATAAAAGGAACTCTCGTGTCGTTCTCTGTATCGCTATCTGGGGGCATTTGGGGAGGGTGTTAGGAGGGTAGGGTTAGACAATAAAGGAGCGTGTTTTCTATAGAAGCTTTAAACAATTAAGCATAAACCCAAGACGCGATCTGTTTCGCATTATCAGATCCTGGCAAGGCTACCAGTATCATGATGAAATTCTCTACAGCTCCAGGACTGACCTCTCCTACTGCCTCTTTACCACCACCAACATTATTTCTTTGTACAAAGGGACAAAAACGGGAATTATGGCAGGAAAATGCTAAGATGGAAAATAAGAGTAAAATCCCCTCCCCTCCCCCATAATTCTTTTGTTATCTTTTCACCTTTTGTAAGTTTCCCATAGAACTTTGCACGTAGCTGGTTCTTATTAAAGATCCTGTGCTAGGGTTGGGAGTGTAGCTCAGTAGCAGCTTAAATATCTACTTGCCTGACATGCACAAAACCCCTGGGTTTGATATCCAGGACATTTTAAAAAAATCTCATGATATATTTTGGATTCTACACTTCCAGAAAAATCTGCAATAAGAACTAGGAAAGTGCTGAAGGAAGGCTGGCCAATGGGACATGGTGTAGGGGAAAGTGGGCTATCATAGCCTCACATGCAAAGGGTGACAGGCTGAAGATTCTGTACCCAGTGTGGCCTATGAAGGACAGGATGGCCATCGGAACCGCTCCTTTTCCCAGAACTAGGGCAGACCTCATGGATAACAGAGTTCTATACCAGAGGTATCTCCAGCTGTACAAGGCTTGTCCAAACAACGGACAAGAGTGCTTTCCACCGAATCCCGTCTTCAGTGACGGTCACAGACTTTCAAAAGCACGAAGCCACCTGCACACTGCTTAAGACATGAAGAAGGATGACTCACAGAAGGAGTTATTTCATTCCCCTAAGTGCCAGGTGGGGAACTTTGGGCGACAGTGGAGTCCTGTAATGCAGGCTGCTTAGTTATAACACAGGTACCACTCTGAAGGACATACATTTGCCATCATGGTTTGTAACTAGACATCCCTCCAATGATGCATGCACTCACAGATATGACTTTTGGAATATGACTGAATCATGGGAACCCTACAGCTAAATGTTGAGGTTAGGAGGTGGGGCCTGATTGAATGAACAGGCCAGTGGGGGCGTGGCCCAGAAGTGGGTCTCTCCCTTTAGGCTCCTCCCTAGCTCTCAGCTTCCTGGCTGCCTGGGGTGAGCTGCTCTCCTCCAAGCAGGTCCTTCCTTCCTCAGTGATGCTTCTGCCCTAAAGAACGACCCACTAAGAACTGAAACCTCTAAACCCATGCACCAAAATAAACCTGTCCTTTAATTTGTTGTGTGGGGTACTGAGTCCCAGTGACAAGAAACTTAACTAAGACATATTGGGAATTCTCTGTACTTTCTGCTCAGTTTTGCTGTGAACCTAAAACTGCTCTACATAATAATATTTTTAAAAACCCATGAGAGAGAAGAAAGAACTATTGCCATGCCATAAAAGGAATTCGTTTCATTTGCATGATGCTTTAAATTTTAAATAGTGGTTTTAGTCTCTCATACAATCCGATCTGAGGAAACTAGAAGGCCCAGTGTCCTTATTTCCATTTTTCAAGACCAGGAAATGGCAGCTCAGAGCCAACAGAACTTTTCTTACTCTAAAGAACTAATGAGCATTCACATCAGGGCTGAAAAGCCATCCTTTGCCTCTGAGTCCAATGACCAACCTGCTTTCCATCTGGATGTCCAACAATTCTCAAGCTTTTCCCCCAAAAAAGCAAACCTTATTCTGTTCCAGATTAAACATCCAAAATAAATGTTTTACTGATCATTAATGTAAGCCAGAAATGTAAATGAAATTATGACAGAAAAGAAAGATGATCCAAAAGATGAGGTGCTAATATCCGTGACCCAAAGACCTGCCTCTCTCAGCTCTGAGACACTGTTGCTGGCTTCTCGGACCTGAAGGATGTGAACCCCAGCCAATGTCCTGTGAGTTAAAGTCTGGTAGATCCAGGGCTGCAGAGGACTAGAACAGCTCCCTGTAAGGAAAAATTGTCACATAAAGCAATTCTCCAAATAGGTTAAGGCTTTCTTTTTACTTCCTTAGAGGTAGAAGTGGGCTGCAGTTTATTTTAATGAATAATTTCGGGGTTTTTTTGTTTTGTTTTTTAGAGGTTTGGTTTTTTTGTGTGTGCTGGGGATCGAACTCACAACCTGGTACTTACCAGGCAAGTGCTTGAGCCCCTGAGCTAAATCTCCGGTTGAACAATTTCTTAATATTCCCCCAAGCCTGCTTTTTCACCAGGCTTCACCACTACACAGTTCTGCAAGGTTAAGTCCTCGTGAAGCCAATCATTTCAAAGGGCAAGAGGCAGGTGTGTAAACACACCGACGGGTGTGTCACACTGTTGCAGGGCGCCCATGGGGTGGTGACCTGAATCTTGTGCTGGGAAAGGTGCTAAGGTGGCTCATTTTTAGGTAAGGTAACAACATGGGGAAACCGCTTCCTGTTCCATGTCCTGTGTTACACATCCTGGAGCATTTTTCTTTGGCCTGTTTGTTAACAACCTGAAATCTCATTCAAACAGGGTAGAATCTTTTCTGAACTGGCGATGAATCTTAACATATAAGTACCTCGCAAGGTCACATTGGTTTAACGCTACAGTAAGATACAGATGTTGGTTTCAGACCACAGTGTTACGCTGTGTAGAGAGATGTAGGAAGGCAAAGCAGTGGGAGGTACACTTTAGGGGGAAGAGGTAGGAAAAGTCAAACAGCTAATGGCCTCATGCGACAGTATAATAATCAGGCTCCATTCGCAAAGCTCTGGCTTGGGGACTGCCCAGTGACATGGGCACTCTGTGGTGGCATTTAAGGTTTCAGGTGCAAGACCTCTCATTATGGTGGAAAGGGGGTGGGCAGTGTTCGTCCTGCTCTAAAGCTGGGCTCTGTTTATTCCAACACCTGTGTCCGCTGTCCACCACAGCCGCAGATGCTCTGATTCCTGGTCATGCGTGGGTTGTTCTTGCCCACAGCCAGGTGTCCCCAGATCACAGCAGTGCTCTGTAGAGCAAATCTGCTCTGCAACCTGCAACCTGCTAAATTATTCATCCCATGTCCTGAGCCCATCCCACATCCCCACCCACACAGCCACCTTTATCCTTCCAGAAGATCATTTACACAAGATCGCCAAGTGCAGCTCATTACCCTAGAGCCCAGGGCGCCGAAATGTTCTATCGGGCAGAGCCACCTAGCGGTAGAATGGAATATGTAATTTTAAATTTTCACTTCATGTCTCTCTTACCATAATCCAGTCTGGTTTTTACAAAATTGTTTCTCCATGTAGTAACCATGGTTAATCAACTATTGTGTTGATTTTTAAATTGTGGTACCATTATTCGTCGTTTTTCATTTAAAAATTTTTTAAAAATACATTTAAAAAAATAAAAAATAGTGTTTCCAAAGATTCCTCTCCCTCCCTTCAGCCCCTTGAGACAGTCATCCAGGTGTATATGTTCTTCATCAAACCCTGACCCATTGGTCAACTGGATAGTTTGTTTTCTGAAACTCCTGGGTCATTTGTGCACACTGCACACAGACACCTCCATGGAAAGAGCTGGGTAAAACTGATAGGTACAGAGAAAGGGAGGAGGTGTGTCCCTCAGTCCCCACACAAGCTGGGGAGGAAATGGGGCATACCTTGGGTTGTGGTTTGGTTCCTTTTCTTCCTTCACAGTAGGCAGACATTCACAGTCGGCTAGGACAGAATGAAAGCAAACTCACCGTTAAGTCACTGAAATTCGATTTTCTATTCACGAAACAGACACTGCTGACCATCAAATTTCCCTGACCTGCGCAGTTACCTGTGCAGAAACGGCCCCACAAGGGAGTTCCAGAGGTTAAAAGATTAATGATGGCCCAGCTCTAGAGATGAGCAAAGCACTTATAGCGCAGATAGGAGGCATCACCTTGCCTCTGCCCTGCTGCAAAGGGCACAATCCATCACCGTTGGCTTATTCGGTCCTGCAGGAGCCTCAGCGTTGCTCTGAAAGTCAGCATCTGCATCTTTGAGGCACTAGAATAAAATGGCTGTGCCTGGCCCCCAGGAGCCTGCAGAGTGATTTTGGTCAGAGCACACATCGGAGAAGGGCAGGAAGGTGCGGGAGCAGCCACCTCCCAAAAGTCTGGGGCTGAGTTCTCTCCCTCTACATCAGCCATTATTTTTTAGGAAAAACAAAAACCGATTCCACTGGAGCACTCCTGGCCCTATCAGAATCACCGCCTGCATGAGCTCTCAAATCCACATGTCTTCTGCCAGCTTTCTGGCTTTAGCAAGGGCGAGAGGGATCCTGATTTTGTATTATACCAAATCTCAGACACAAAAGGAAATGTACCGAAATATTAAGAGATATTGCCTGTGGGTGGTGGAATTATTTTCCTTCTATTTCTTTTAGTTTATCACAACTTCTACCAAAAACAATAGAATTCAACCACTAAATTAGAAACAATAAAGTTCAACCACTAAATCAATGACCCACCCCAACTTCAAATGTTTTCCAAGCTCTTCTCCCATTGATAAGAAAAGCTGCTGGAAGTTGTCTTAGTAGAGTAGAAAGCTCATCCTACTCACAAAATTTCTGGGTTTCACAAAGCTCCATTGAAGACTGATGGATTGATAGACCCCAAGGTATTTTTAGGAGATAAATATTAAAAATACAAATGATGTGATAATGTGAAGAGTGGATTTTACCCATTTAAGCTGAGCATTAAAAATAGCATTGAATTTAAAAAAAAACTAATTACTGATGTAATGGAAATTAGAGAAAACATATTACAGTTACTACCAGATATTCATTGCAAATTTTTATAGGAGAATACTTACATTGCAGTCTGTATTTGTCCTGTCCAATGTATCTACTACAAAGGAAATGATCTAGATTCATCCTGTCCTATATAGTTACTGGGCACTCAAAATGTGGCTACTAAAACTAGATTTTATTTTTACTTAATTGATTTAAGTAGTCACACATGGCAAGCATACATCTATGTGAACTACATTTCATAAAGTTGTATATCTGTATCAAGATTAAAATCATAATCTCTAAATTCGGTAATGCTATAAAGGTAGTGCTAGATGATCTTTTTAGAAAGTTTGGCCTCAGATTTCCTTGCTTGGAAGAAGAGAGATCAAGATGGGGATATAGTTCAGTGGTACAGGGCTTGCCAGGTTCCCATCCTGAGCACAGAAGAAAGGAAGAAAGGAAGGAAGGAAGGAAGGAAGGAAGGAAGGAAGGAAGGAAGGAAGAAGAGAAAGAAAGAAAGAAAGAAAGAAAGAAAGAAAGAAAGAAAGAATAATTTTATATTTGAAAAAGATCATTTCAACATCTTATACACAAATAAAAACAAGTGGCAGGACCTGATACCATAATTAAACTGGGTATTTAAGGACAGGTCAGACCTAAATTTATTGTTTGCACACACGAGAAGGAATGTGGCCCTGGCCTCTGTCCCACTCCAGAATATAGTGAGGTATTTATTTATAGAGTCGTCACGACCTTCTATTACTAGAGAGGAAGGCAAAACTTTAGGTTGCCACGTACCACTTCTGTTCATGCTGTTCATCCACTTATCAAGCTCTTCCATCTCTATTTCCATGACAGATGGAGTGTCCTCTTCAAAAATAGGGCTAGAGAGAGACAGCAAAGCTTGGTGAAGACCAAATCGGTCTGTGCTCCGTTTCATTTGGGGAGAGTCCAGAGTCAGCGCTGAGGAAACTGAACGTGACTGAGCGGCTGACACTGGGAGAGCCTGGGGGCACTGCCCTGTGTTAGGGTATCGGACCCTAATAAGAAGAAAGGCTAAACCTTAAACCAACCCAGGGCTATCCCTGCCCCTCAAATTGCAAAGCCCAGAGTCCCGGAGAGCCAGCTGAAAGGGGAACCCAGGAGACTGCTCCCCAAAGGTGCAGCACAGCCTGCAAGGCCCCTGCGGGAGTTGCCCTGGGTCTTAGCCTTGCCCATTTTCACTTCTCCCCCCACCCCGGGGGTCCTGATGAGTGTCCCACATCAAGAGGCTGCTGTCATCACCTACTTTCACCGCCTCTCCCCCAGGTCCCAGGCTTTCCTGCCCAGAAGAAATGGAGCTGTCACCTCCAGCCTCAGGACCAAAGTCCCTGCTCAGAGGAAGTGTGGGAAGGAAGGACCACCAGCCCACCGGAAGTGTGGGTGACACACTGCATAGAGGAAATGGGAAGCCTCTAAATGGGGGAAGTCGCTCAGAGGGCAGGCCTGGGGGGTGGCATCACCCCAACAGCTTCTGGGTGGAATCCTCCCTCTCTGTCTCTGTCTCTGTCTTTCTCTCTCCTCTCTCTCTCTTCCTCCCTCTTTCTCTGTACTCTCCCCCACCTAGCCTCTCTTCTCTCCCTCTTCCTCTTTCCCTCCCCACTTTGTGACCCCTGCCTCTGTCAGGGGTCTGCTTCCCTTTGGGAGCACAGCCTCCCCTGGCATGGAATGCTTCATCAGAATAGATGAACCAGCATCCTGACCCACACTCAGGGTCAGTCTACTTAACGTGGCATTCTTTTCTGAGCAGGTGAAAGTGAAGTAAACAGCTCCAGGCCCTTCCTCTGCAGGGTAGAGACCTCCCTTCCTCCCAGGTCTCCAGACAGAGGCAGGAGGAGCCAGCCAAGTATCAGAGCAGAGACAGCTTCAGAGGCCACAACCCTCCCCACCACCTGCCCAGCCACAAGAAGGCTGGGCTGGAGTCGCTGGGGGTGACTTACACTTTGAGGTTTTCTCCGCCCAGTTCACCTAAGAGGGAATAAACATAAAGCTCACGTTAGCTTTGTCCATCACAACTTCTCATTTCAACAGCAGCCGGTGTGTCCTGTTACACAGCAAACCAAGTAGTGTTATTACAATTTGAAGGGGGCAGTGCTTCACCTGGAAGTCAAACAAGCACCAGCCACCATGTTGAAACGTGGTCCTGTGGTATGAAATGTTTCCCGTTAGATGTGGAAGGTTTAGGGAACACTCCCATCAGAGCAGATGTGTGGCTTTGTATTCTTATATCCATGTGCGGGGGAAATAGTTGTAAAGGAAACAAGAGTTAAGCAAAAGGGTTTACTCTTCCCCTACCCCAACAAAAAACCATGATGTGCCACTGTCACCTGTCCTGGGGTCACATTGGGCCACTCCACCCAAGGCTCCCCTCGGAGCTCCTCCTCCATCCCGGCCTTGTGAATATCTGGGACCCTCATCTTCCTGGTCTCAGCTTCAATGCTTTGTCCACGAGAAGGCCCTGCCCACCTCTGCTGAACCAAGGCCCATTTTCCTGTGGTTCTCTGCTCAGCACCTTGCTTGCATCCTGCTGACAGTTTCTCCTGGGTCAGTCCGCCTACTTGACTCTGTCTCTCCCATGAAACTAAACCATGGCTCCAAAAGGCAGGGTCATCTCTGTCTTGTTCATTGTGGCATCTTGAGACTCCCATCCTGCCAGTACCATCCGTGTCTGACAAATGCCTGGTAAATATTTATTGAATGAATGAATAGGCCTTAATCTTGTTTGCCCAGCACTGGGGTTAAATTCACGCCCGAGCTTTTGGACTTCACATTATCAGGGGATTTAGCTCAGCGGCATAAGCATCTGCCTCGAGTTATCATAACAGTATAACTTCTAGCACATCTGCTCTGGGTTGCTGTTGATTGGGGTGAGAGGCAGGTGACAGTTTCCAAACTGGCTCTCCTGCAGACAAGATGCCAAACAAACATGTGGCAGGAATCAGAGCCCAGTGTCCCGGTTTAAGCTGTTTTATTTGGCAGGGGGACCAACGAACCCCGAGAGATGCCACAGTGGTGTCAAGTGAACAGCACAGCCCGCTGCACCCTTAATGATGCAGAAAGTGCTGAAAAGCAAACCGCTTTGCAGAGCCCACCAAACATGAGCCCTGGCAGTCGCAGGCCTCCTCAGTCCTTGGCAAGGGACCGGGGCCAGCAGGCACCTGGCAGCAGAGCCTACTGTCATTTCCTGCAGATTGGCAAGGCTGAGAGGCATCGCTAGTCCAGGAAAGCGGGGCGTGGGTGGGGAGTTTCCTGCCATCACCACAGCCCGGATGGGCTGCTGGCTGTGTCCTGTGTCCCCCCAGTAAGACTCTGCAGATGCCTGGCTCCTCAAAACTTAGGCTGGGGAGAGTATCTTCATCTTATATATTTTTATATGCACTTTAAATCCAAAATTTACAAGCTATTTCCTTAAAGATTTTACAATCAATACAGACAGCTCCCATGCAAATGACCCAGCTTCCCTACAGGTGACCCATAAAGACCCCCTCTTTTGTCACTCTCTCCTCCTTATAACTTTTCCCCAGCTTCATAATCCCCCCCCCCCAGGTCCCACCCCTTCCCACTGATGTCTCAGAGAGCAAGTGGCTTCCCAGCCCCACTATTTGGGGAATGGATTTATCTTTATAATCTGAGTGTCCTGTAGGCTTGGAGGTGAATAAAAGCCTGCATGCAGACGATGGAAAAGTTTAAAAGCCCATTACCAAAGTGCTCCAGATGCACTGAAAATGTGCCGCTCCTGTAATCAGTATTAACAGAGAGCAAAAAGCCTTCTGTGGCCTCTTCTTCCGTGCTCCACGACCATTACCTCTGCCCCAGCTGCCATGGCAACAGGAAAACATCGGGGAGAGCACACAGGAGCAGAACCTTAAACCAGGAGGGAGACCCATTACTTGTCCTCAGCGAGCAGGCCCTGGGCACTCCACTCCACCTGCCCTGCAGCTCTTGGTTAATAGGCACCACTCCTTCTGCAACCGCAGCTCCTGTGCAGCCCGCTTCCTGCCTGGTTCCATTGTGCCTCTTCCAGCCCTGCTGCTGGCCCCTCCCAGCTCGCTCAGCTCCTGCTCTGTGCAGCCCGCAGTGGGATTGTCAGAGTAGGGCTGCGGGCGCGGGGCCACGGAAGGCTCTGGCCTCCTTATCTTGTTTCCATGCTGAGCAGTGAGCAAAAGATTCTCTCTCCCGGGAGATCTACTGAGCAGGGCCAAGCGTGGTGTTGCCACCGTCTGTTTAAAGCAGTGTTTTCCTGCCAGCTGTTTTCACTGTAGCTCTCAGACACGCAGCACATGAAGACACTTCATAAATGTTAAACAGCAACGGAAGGCCCGCGGGTCGAGGAAGAATGATAGCAGAACGTAACCTGCACTGTGCTTCCATTCTCCCGCACATAAACCAGACAAGCACCAAGAAATCGCGTGACTTAGGCGCGAGAGGCTGTGGCCTGGTGGTGGAGCTCAGCTTAGTATGTTGGGGGACCAGGGTTCCAGCCCCAGCACCCCTCAAAACAGAAAAGAATAAAAGAATTTCTGACCCAACGAAGAGCCCTTTCTCAAAACGTTGGCCCAGTACTCCCCAGTTGTCAGATTGAATGTTTTATTTTCTGGGGGTGAAAGACAGCAGACACTGTCACAAGGGAAAAGAAATAGCAGTTCGATTCCTATTTCCTGAGGGAGTATTAAACGTGCAGGTACCCACCCCTCCCCCAAAGCATTATTCTGGAACTTCCAAAGCAAAATGCTGGTGGGTCTATACGGTGTGACAGTTTTATTTTCTTGGAGGAAAAAATTACTTAAGTTTCGCTGATTTTTTTCTGCTTTTATTGACTAGTTTTATATCGTTAAGCATGAAAGGGCGGGGTCAGCAGGAAGTGGCTGCAAACCTTGCAGCTCACTCTGGGGAGCCACATCTGTGTCTGCACAGGAGGAATGGCTCGCAAGAGAAATGCTCATACAGACGCTCTCTACCAGAAACACCTTCTGCTAAGTAACTGTCTTGGAAATTCTAAGTTTTCTATGTTGTATTTTTCTTAAACTGAGGCCTATTTACACTAAAATATGATGTACCCACTTATAGTAAGGATAATGCACAAATATGTTTCCATCTCTGAGAGTAACAGATGTTCTTTTTTTTTTTTTTTTTATAAAATCCTAGCATTTTGGCTAGGGATTTAGCTCAGGGCATAAGCACTTGCCTGGCAAGCATGAGGTCATGAGTTCAATCCCCCATACAAAAAATAACTCTAGCATTCTTTCATTAACTCATTCATTGAATAAACTTGTATCAATCAATTAGTGTATGTTAGATTAGGCATTACTTGATTTTTTTAAAAGTGAGCACTTATAGCACTTCTAATATGCCAGGCACTCTTTTTTCCAAGTTTTAGAGATATACATAACTTTGATATACATGAATATATATATATATATATATATATATATATATATGCCTTGGATTGCAAATAACTTGTTCTGTGAGTATTCTGCAAGATAAGCAAACATTTCTAATAAATTTTAACTTAATAAACAAGTGATGCCTTCCAATATAAGCAATACAAGACACTGAATGTCACATAATCACAAAGGAGCCAGTGGCCCCTCTGTATCTTTATCTCTGTCTCTGTCTCTCACTCTGAGATCTGATTGTCTCATCCAATGGCCAGAGTTATGGAGGAGATCTCATCTGCAGAGGAGAGGGGGGGAAAAAAGCAGGAGAACCCCTCACTTTAAATGAATGTGTAAAATGTGGGAAACTACAAAATTCTGTAGAAAAGCAACATCAAATAAGGCTGTAGCACCAAGCAATGTTATGTTTGACAATGCAATGCCACATTTCCACCAAATCCTCAAAGGAGGCAAAGCAAGTGTCACTGGATAGGTTCCTGGTTAAAGGTGCATGAAAAGAAAGATTCCACTGAGCCAACAGACAGCAGTGACCCTATTAGTGATAGTGGAAGTCATGCTACAGAGTAGCCCTCCTCTCTCTTGTCTCCCTCACGCCAGCCATGAAGGTTTTCAAAGGTAAGTACAGTTTAATTTATTTTTCTTTATTTTGTATTATCTTTATTATTTTGTATTATATTATAAAACACTGTAATACATTTTTGCAATCATTTTTATATGAATATTTTTGCATTGTGGAATGAAGCATATGAGTTTCTTCTTTTCTTATGGAAAAATTTCTTTGATATACAAGTGCTTTGGATTATAAGCATGTTTCTGGAATGAATTATGCTTGCAAACCAAGATGATATATATCTCCATATAGATATACATATAGATAGATAGACATGTAGAGAGACAGAGATATATATGATTTTCATATTGCATGAGGTAGGTATTGGATTTTCCCATTTTACAGATGAGGAAACAGAGTCACCAAGTTCATAGAGCTAAGGAGCACAAAAGGAAACCAAATAATATGCAAGTTTCCAGAGCCCAAATTCTCAACCTTAATGCCACACTGCCAAACAAGATGAATAAGACAAGTTCTTGGTTCTTTTGGCCTTTAAAAAGAGCATAATAAAATAAGAAAGAAAGACCCAGAAAGGTCACCTGTTTATGGAACAGTGAACCATGAGTGTAAACATAGCTGGGACAGCTCAGGAAGAAGAGACTGTGAGGAATTTTCCCCAAGAAGAGATGACTCCAGGCTTCACTAAAAACCCTTAGACCTGGGCGCTGAGGAACAGGGTGGCATTTTGCCAAGCAGACAAGAATTCCAGACAGAGGCAGCAGCATCGACCAGACACAGAGGCGTTCTCAAGGTGATGCCACGCCCTGGGGACAGCAGGCACCTGCAGTGGGGTAACAGCACAAGGGCCCTGTCTGCGAATGTGCCTCATTTGTTCATGTCAGTGGCTTCCCGACAGAGAGACCTGCACGGTGACCTCCAGAGGAAAATCCACATCTGAGTTTCAGTGGAAGGACAGAAGTATTACACTGGGCACTCAACCTCCCCCCGCCTCCGTCCCTTGATTTTGTTTTCGAGGGCCAGCTGTGGGCCTATAGCTGGGGCAGGAAATCCTTACTTTGGTTAGGGGGAAAAAAAGGAAGAGGGAGAAGAGGAAGGAAGAACAAGGAGGAGGGAGGAGAAAGAGCTCCACCTGGAAGGCTGAGGCAGGAGGATCATCCGAGCCCAAGAGTCTGAGGTCAACATGAGCCACATACCCAATACCCTCTCTCAAAAAATAAACAGAAAATAAAACCAAAACCAAGATATACCAAAAAAAGAAAAAAGAAAAATCTCAACCCCCACAGCAAAACAAAATATACTGTCAGAGTGAGCTTCTAACCTCGGGAATTTTTATCTTGGTTCTGGATCATAAGAAACTCTCCATCCAGAGTTTCCTGATACAAATGGGCCTGGTTGCAAGGGGAACAAGAGCACCATTTTGCCCAGTCATTTTCCAGATCAAATTGGAATGTGAGGTGTGGGGGGAAGAACAGCACCCACAACAGACTGTTCACAACCCCAGTGTGGCCCAGCTGCACCAGCCTGGCCCTTCCCTCACACAGTGAGAGATGTGACGCTGGCCTCTTAGCCAAGATTATGGTTTGTATCCAGATGCACCCCAAAGCCTCATGAACTCACAGGTGCACAGGCGCCCTTTCCTTTTGGGAAGTGATTGAGTCCTGGGGGTGTCCTCTACTCACAGGTGGATCAGTCCACTGATGAGCTGGTAGCTAAATACATTGTTGGGAGGGGGGGCCTGGTAGGAAAAGTGGGTCACTGGAGGCGTGGTTTGGAAGGATTTATCTCCCTCCCTGGCTCCTCCTTTTTCTCTCTGCTTCCCGTCCATCATGCCTCAAGCAGCTCTCCTCCGCCAAGCCCTCTGGCACTCTGACCTCCCTTGGGGCCTGCCAGCTACAGACTGAAATATGAGCCAAAATAAACCCCTCTTCCTTTAAGCTGCAGGGGTTGCGTGTTGCGTCCCAGTGATGAGGAAAGTGACTAAGACAACTTATCCAGATTTCTTAGAAAGATGGCAGAAATATATTTTAAATTTCTATATAGACCAAAACCAAAATTTCATATAGACCAAGAACATTCTTTTAAAAAAAGGAAATGTGGCATTATTAATCTCTAGAAATTTCATTGACATATATCATTTTTCATCTAGTATTTTATATACTTATTTTTGCTTCATTTATAGACATTGCTTGCCTATCCCCGCCCCAGTTCTAAGCAGACGTTGGGATAATACTCACATGTTTGCAAAGCACTTTGAGATCCCTGACTAGAAGGCTCTGTGTGGAAGAAAAACAACATTTTGTTTTATGATCGTTCATTAATACATAAGGCACTTTTCTGAAGGTGGGCATACACTCAATAGTTACCTTGTTTAGTTCTCTTTCTTTTATAGTATGTTGCAAGCAGTGCCACACATACAAATAGGAGGGCCAACAGAATCAATGGGATCAACACCATTAATACAAACTCCAGCTGATCTGAATCCTCGCCGAGGTGGGTAGAATTTGTATCTGCGGTAATCGCTTCTGGGGTCACTGCAAGAAATGTGTTTAATGTGGTCTCTTCATTGGTTTTGTTATCTTCCTGCAAACCATTTCCTGAATATTCTACGTCTTTGCAATTACCTGTAGGAACACACACAAAAATGAAATTGCCATGGAGACAAAGCTAGTACGTTATGGTCCTGGTGATTTTTAAATCTGCCGCAGATGCACTGCCTGATACACTTGATCCACTATTAGGCCTTGCAGCTCAGGGTGTCATGGTACATTGATTTAACACACACGGAGCTCACACTGGGAGAATGCTGGGCATGGAATCAGAGCACAGAGACAAAGCTCCCCCAAATGCAGGCAGGTCAGCTTTGACCACATACTTGGGACCCTTAAGCAAGGGTGCTGGAAGCTCTGTCTTGTCAAGGGCAGTCGTATGACATTCCTATAGGGAAGCATGATATTTTAACAAAATCTCTGATTAAATTTAAGCACATACTTACTAACAGTAAAGTTTATGCCACATAACACATGTAGATGTGAAGGAATGGGGTCGAGGGTGCAGCTCAGTGGTAGAGGACTTACTTGGTCTTATGGCTTAGATTTAAAATGTCCCCAACATTTGGGAGGTGACGGGCTCAGGGGAGTGGTCCTCATTCATTCATTCACCCATTAGTACGTTCCCGGATGAGGGTGCGGTCAGGAGCTGGGCCGGCTAGAGGAAGATCACTGGCTGTGACCTGGCTGTATCCTTGGCTTCCTTTCCTCCCCCTCCCTCTGTTACTAAACTGCCAAGGCTCCAGCACTTTTTCTACCATGCCCCTCTGATCCTCTCTCCCGAGGAGCAGCCACCTGTGGCCTGAGACCCTGAGCCAAAATAAACCTCTCTTTTCTGTAAGCTGTGGGCACTGGATTTTGTGCAACAAGGAAAGTGACTAAGACAGCTGTCCAGCAAGCCCAAGACCTTGGGTTTGACCTCCAGACCCGGAACCAATCAATAAAACAAGGAATGTACTCTGTGTCCCCGTTTTGTTTCGTTCTCTTTTTTTTTTTTTTTTTTTTTTTTTTGGTGCTAGAGATTGAACCCAGGGCTTCACGCATGGCCAGGCAAGCCCCCTGCCACTGAGCTTCATCCCTGCCCCCCCCATGCTCTCACTTTTAATAAATGGAAATGAATTCCTTGCCCTCAGAGCAACTACTTAGGTTTCAGCGTCGTCTCACTCTTTGTATAGCACCAAGTCAGCTTCTGAGATTATATGACAAAGTCTCCTGGATTCTAAATAAAAATACAATGCATATTTTATTGGCAAAGTGAACTTCTCAAAGCAAGGTTCCCAGGGCTGGGGACTTAGTTCAATGGTGTATGCACCTGCCTGGCAAAGCAAGATTCCCTTGGAGAATAAGAAAGCTCACTAATATTTTTAAAAACGCTCTTGTGGAATCATCCATATTATCAAGATGTAAGAAAATTTGTTCTGTTTGAACCTTGGATGGTACAAAAACCCATAGCGTGACTCATGCAGGAAAAGAAAAAACCACCAGCTTGACAACCACTGGGCAAAAAGCTTCCCTCCCCTGACTGGGTTGTGGTTATGGCACAGGAGGTTGGGGTTCCTTCCACTCTGAGGGGAACCCACCACCTTTTTAACTATATTACCAGCACTTGCTTATTCTCCGAGAGAGCCTTGTTTTGAAAAGTTCACTTTGCCAATACAGCAATGCACTCATTAAATGTCACCTACATCCTAGAGGTGAACACATGTGTACAGAGGACAGCACATGTGACAACGTGGATGGATGCTCCTCATCAGGTGTAAGGTGCAAGCTGAGTGGAGAAGCCGACAGCTTTAAAGCATATGCTGTTAGTGCAGGTTGGGCCTGGACAGGGCACGGCTCAGTTCACATTTTATCTTCCTGTGTGATAGCAAGACAATGACTTCCCCTGGCTGGGGTTAAGGGAGAGGCGTGGGGCCTTTGTCGAGGATCAGGCTTAGAGGATGTGATGAATGAAGCTGGGAACCCCACAGTGGTGTGGGCCCCTGGACAGAAAAGGAAGAGCCAGCACATGTCCCCAAAATGGGAGGCCACAGCAAGGAGGGCTCTCACCAGACCCTGACTCTGCTGGCACCCTGATTTGGAACTTTGGAATCTGGAGTTTCCAGATTATTATGGATGAACATTTTAGTCTCCTGAGGGATCAGGAACCCACTTGATAACCATGTAGACAGATGCCACCCAAATCATCAGAACCAATGACCGGAATTTTTCACTTATGCAAGGTGTGGTTGACAATTATGGTGAATGTGTAAAAGGTTTGTTTGTTTATTTGTCTTTTTGAGACAGGGTCTCTCCATGCAGTTCAGGCTGGCCTTGAGTTCACTTTATAGCCCAGACTGGTCTCAAACTCACAATGATGCTCCTGACTCAGCCTCCCGAGTGCTGGGATTACAGGCATGAGCCACCACGTCCAGCTCAAAAGGTTTTTTTTTTTTTTTTTTTTTAAGTTTATTACAGTAAAAGACACATTGCCACTTTGACCTCTCAAAATACTCCTTCTTGCTTCGAACACGCTCATCCCATAATTTTTGCCACTTTCTAAGCAGTCCTCAAAGTCCTCCTTGCTGAGTGAGCTCAGTTTCATTGTCAAAGCTATCCTGGGGACCCAAACCTTCTCAAAACGTTTATTTATCATGACCATTTTGATTTTGGGGAAAAGCCAGCATTTCGTGGTGCTAGATCAGGTGAGCAGGTTGGGTGAGAACAGTGTCATTCTTCTAAGGCTGCCTGTCTCTGCACCGGAGAACACTGAGCAGCAGCTCTTCCCACAGGGTCTATAAACTCACCCTCCAGAAGACCCTTGGCTTGGCTTTTGGTCAGTTCTCCACATTTTACTAATATCAGCTCATTTTGTTCCCACTATTTTTTTCAGATGGACACTGGGACAAAAAGGTCACACAACTTGCCCTAGGTCACAGAACTCACTTGGAAGAGTAAAGATTTGGACCCAGTCGGGTCCAGAACATAAGCTTTTAACCTCGCACAGTTTTCCCTCAGTTGCCGAGCAGTGCAGGGCCTGTAGATCATGAAGTTGGTGGGGACCCCAGGAGGGGACCCTATGCTCCGCCTCTAGGAGATTTCTTCCTGGAACTTGCCAGGGTTGGGGGGAAATAAGGAAGTGGTTCCAGAGACCTCAGCATTGCCAGGGCTTTTGCTAAGGTGCCTCCTGCAGAAACAGAGATTTTCTGCACATCTCAAAGGGAAATGGATCAAATTCTCAGTAGAACACAGTGTCCCCCCTCAACCCACGGCCACAGGAAAATAGAAAAGACGCAAAGAACTCAGCTCTTGGGAATACAGAGGGCGTGCTGACCCCTGGGAATGAAAGAAAAGGAGAGAAGTGTTCCCAGATGGTCTGGGTCATCTACACTTATCTTTCAGCATGAGTCAGTGTGGTCCCAAGTGGCCCTTGGTGGCACTGTGGAGTTGAAGGGTCGGGAATTGCCATGCTACACACACACACACACCCTCAGTGTGTGCTTTCTACCTGAAGCATCATTTGCTCACTCAGATTCTCTAGTGGCTATTTAAATAAGTGAGAATAAGCCAGGCGTGGTAGCACACACTTGTAATCCTGGCACTCAGGAGGCTGAGGCAGGAGGATCGTTGCAAGTTTGAGACCCACCTGGGCTACAAAGTGAGCTCAAGTTCAGTCTGAACTGCACAGCAAGACCCTGTCTCAAAAAGAAAAAAAAAATGTTTTTTAAATAATAATTGAGGACTCTCTCTTTCTCTGTGTGTATTCTTTCCCTTTATCCTGCAAGCCTTCATTTCCAGAGACTCCTGTGACTCCCTCAGCCCCTGCTCCAGGCAACTTCAGCTCCCGTACTCCACAAGGGCTCAGAAGACCTTGACAGAACACACTGCTATGTGCTGGCACCAGAATGAACCACGTTACCTATCGAATGTATCCCTCACAACAACGTCAGTGCCTTTGTGTTCCGGATGAGGAAGCTGAGTCTGAAATGTCTTTTGTGTGAGATGCGGCCTTGTCCTTTGGGTCAATTTCTACACCTGAGTCAGGCGTGGTGGCAGGTACCTGCAGTCCCAGCAGCTTAGGAGGCTGAGGGAAGAGGAGCGCTGGAGCCAGGGGTTCCGGGGCAGCCTGGGCAACATTGTGAGACCAGAGCAAGAGCAGGAGTGCGAGAGTGCAAGAGAGAGACAGACAGACAGACAGACAGACAGAGACAGCGGGAGGAAGAAAGAGGAGAGGGGACAGAGGGAGGGAGAGAGAGGAAGGAAGGAGGAGAGGAGGAGGAAGGGAAGGAGGGAGGGAGGGAAGGAGAAGTGGTACTGATCTGATGCAGGTTTCTGAGGCTGCACTCCCTGAAGCATTATCAAGATAGAGAGGCGCTACTCTACCTCTTTGAGTAGTTTTGCAAATTTGCAAAAACCTCTTATCCTTTACTGTTCAAAGCTCCTATGTCCATGGTCAGAGTCACTTCCAAGGCCCAGCACACTTTTGCACCTCTGGGTGGATTCCACGGTGTTTATCTTGCTTTAATGACAAGTTTTGAACAGGTGACACAGAGCACACAAAGCGCTGAGCCCAGAGGGGAAGTGTCACCACCACCCTTTCCCCTGGTACTCAGCTTCCTTCCCCCAGGTAGCCGCTGTTTCTGCTGCCTTCCACAGAGCCCTGTGCGCACACATACACACACATGCAAGCGTTATTTCCTGTTTTTAACTTTTTAACACAAATAGAGGCAAAACTTAAAACTTCCGTGACACAACCCTAGCCCAGCTGGCTGCCTCCTCCTGGCTCCTCCCACCGGCCAGCCTTGGTGACCTCAGCTCCTCCTTCGGCTTCCACCTTGGTTGTATCTTGCTCTGAATTTCTTCCTCCAACCGTTGGCGCTGGGTTACTGATTTGATTCCACATCCCTCACCCCTCACTCAATTCCCCAGCTCCTCCTCTGATGCCATTTGATTCCTTCTTGCACAAACTCTTGAGGCTGAACCCCAATGTTCTCAGCTTTCCTCCTTTGGCAACAGACTCTGCCCACCACCACCACCACCCCTACCACCCCAAAAGTCTCGTCTGGCTGGGGACCGCGCTAGGGTTGTCTTGGGGA